GTGCCTGTTGTAGGGATTAATGAGTGGGGCTACATAAGCTACTGTTGCCGAAGACGGCTCACAAGGATCCTAAATACGAAGGGGAATGGCTTCTAAATGCATTACAGTCTAAAACGACCACGTTCTATTCACGAATGAATGGAACAGTTCTTCCTTATCCACGTTCTATTCAGTGCATTCTCGGTTCTCTTAGCATACTGGTGCAGATTGTAAGACTAGCTGTACAGTAAACGGATATAGTGATTATCTTTTGTATAGACTGTGCACATTAAATATTTTATTTCATCACATGTCTATAGAGCTTAGTTTTGTATTTATGGCAGTATTGTACATAATCCATGTGTTATAGGTGGCCGTGCGCTCAATTGTCTGGGATGAGGTTAAAGGTTGAGACATTGGTTAAGGTGTTGAGGGATACGGCTAGATTTATAAGATTTAATGCTGGGATTAGGAGGGCTAGCGTTAGAGGAAAAGTTAGCGTCACTAGACAGAAGTAGGTAGCCTTTAGAATTTGACGTAATCTAGCTAATAGTCTGTGTGTATTTATTGTTTCGTCCGACCGTTTACTGAATTCTAGACTTGCGATGTTAATTCATATTTAATCGCTAAACGGGAGAGCATTTTTAATGTGTCAGGTCAAAAGTATACAGAGAGCTGCATTAAACACAAGTTCCGTTGAATCTAGACATACAATATTCTTTGTTTAGCTCTGCGGAACCATCATCTAGGTTGTATAATATCGGAACAAAGAAATCTGGCCTTGCTTGCAATTGTGACATATTTCACTTTTAGGGACTTCATGCAAAAGGCTGAAAAGATTTTGGCGAGAGGCAAGGACGCGTCCGACAAACTCGCCATCCACTGGGAACACCTCCGGTTGCAATTTGAAGGCTGCAAGCAGCAAGGAATTCCACAAGACGAAGCGGCGCTGCGTGCTGTACTGAAGACTGTCGCCCGCCTTCCAGCAACGACGCGGGTACCCAAGGTTGTGGCGAATGTATGCGTGAAGGAAATTGAGTCCCAGTTACTTAGCTTGAGTTTGCAAGCAGAACGTCTGGCGGCGAAAAGTATTCTCAAGCATGGCACGACAACAACCTCCAAAATGCTGGCGAAAAATACAGCAGCTTTGGTAGGGGGTGTTGCAAAGGGCGCTTTTATAGGCCTGAACGTCGTTCTACAAGTAAACGATATTTGTGATCTCCTTAAGGAAATCGACACGGATCATCCGGCTGCAACGACAATCGGAAAGATCATTTCGCAGCTTAAGTGAGTTGCCATTTGCAGTAGAATATCTAACTCATGAAACTTTTTGAATTCTACAAGAAACTTTATGTTACGCAAAAAAGCTGTGTTAACTGTAGTGAAAAATAATGCAAAATTGCGCAAGCCTCTAAACAGGAAGCCCCCTTTCTAACTTTTGGCGGCACGCTAGCTTATACCAGGTCAGATGGACGTGTTATAATTACAGCTTACCGACACTTGTTCAATGAACTTGGAACTTTTGCGACTGAGCAAATCTAGCCCAGTCTCGGATACTGAATATCGAGAAAAACAAAACTCTAGTCCTTAGTTCGCACAATCCTGGGAGGTCTACGAGCACTCCTGTGGAAACTAGATGGACTTTCGTGCTAATGTAGCTATTCTGATCGACTACCAGTTAGATTATTGCAGTTGAAATTCGGGGACTTACTTACCTGCAGCCAGGCAATGTAACGAAAGATGAATGTAATGGAAAGAACAGTGGGTTTTGTCGAAAGTTTATCTTCGATAAACCGACCCATCTACACTGTGTTCTCGAGCAATTTAGAGTAACACTTGATTATTTATGACACACTGTCAATTCGAAAAAAAGTACATTTTAAACCTCATTAGAGATGAAATAATAAAAATATGCTGTTATAACCTTGGGTGTGCCTGCGTCGACACTGCCAGTTGTGTGATAGGAAGACAAAGCAGGCAGGATGGGAGATAAAGGTTGAATGTCACTGTGTCCTTAGGATAACACGTCGCACCCCCAGTGACGCGCGCATGTGCATGCGTCCTTTCGTGGCCCCTTGTCATGCTTGAGCTCAGAACCCGGTCGGCGGTTGTCCTTGCGTCGTCGCATATCGCCCTTTGAAGGTGGCGTTCTTGTTGTTAGGACGGCCTAACGAACAGCCTTAGCAAGCAGTAGCTTGCAAAGCACAGCCGCAACCAAACAGGCTATCGATCGACCTATGCGGGCGAACGTACACAAGCCGTCAGTCGATCGATAATTCAGATTTCAAACTACGGTCATCCACTGAGCCAAACAGCCAATTGGACCTGCCACCATTTCAGAAGGCAATCTGATTAGCTCAATGGACGTCGTTTACACACGTTTGTTCCCTAGATTTGTTGTACCTCTAATACCCGAAGACTTCTGCTTTCTGCAAACTTCTTGTCGGTAGCCCTTGATTTGGATGGTTGGCTCGCCGGGCAGTGTTGTTCCTCTGGGGACTCACACAAGGCATTATTGGGCGGCGATATCTGGGCCTCGGTTGCAACACTTGTCTCATCCTGTCTGCCTCCGCTGGCATATGTACTTCCTTTGTTTTCGTAACATCAGGACGGTCCGAGTGATGACTCGCGTGCTGGGCCATCCTAAAATAAGCCTTATGTGCGAAAGATCGAATCTACGAGTTACTTAATGACTTCATTTTTTTCTGAGTGCTTCTTACCTAAACCTATTAAGTCCGTCTTTAATACTTTTAGGGGCAAAATACGTGAGGCGAAAAAACTCAGAGACGAAGTAAATGCCGTTAAAAGGGCTTATCAGGAAGCCACCGAGGCAGAAGCTAGAGCAGCCCAAACACGGTCAAAGCCAACTGAAAATAACAAGGATAGAGGTAAGACAAACAAAACCACGCAAGATGAGGCTGTATGCGATTGGGGCGATGGTGCTGATGATGAGGATCAAAAGCGTACGCCAAACCGTCGCACCTGTGAATATCAGATATCTGAAGCCGGAGTGGAAGAATTAATAAGGCTTCTGCATGAGCTAGTAAGAGAAATACAAGACCTGACTTGGGCCGGTAACATCTCTCCACAAAGATTGCAGTCTCTCCTGGATAGGTTCATTAAAATTCTTCAGAAAATGTATATTGCTGGATTTAAGTGCAGGATTAATCGGAGGACGCGTGACCTTCGCCTCTCTATTACAATCAACGGAAGGAAAATTGTTTATGAAATCTCTCTTGAGGGGTTTCATTTGTGTGACCTTGATCCATCAAATATGCGAACTGTTTTCTCTGCGGTCCATATCGGAGAATCCTCAGAAAACATTATCTGCAATGAGGCGGGCGCTGTGTACTATATTTGTGCTGTAGACAAAGAATATGAGAATATTAGATACGTCGGTATAACCTCCAGAAGGACGCACGCTCGAGTATGCATGGAACACCTTAGAGCGATTGCACGTTTTTCTCAAATTTGGGCTAATAGGGAAGAAATTTCAGTTTCGGATTTGGATTTTCTTGAGAACATTTCGTACTT